ATGTTTAACATTTTTTTCCATCTTACATATTTAAAAAGTTATTTAGAGTTACCTTATAAGGATACATACAGACATACATACATACACACATACATACATACATACAGACATTTTTTCTGAATGTGATTTTTGAACGTTTTAGAACATTCTAAACATGTTTTCAAAGAAAACTGGAAAAAAATTTTTTTCACGAAAACAAAGCTTCCTCTATGAGGAAGCAAAAGTTATGTTTAGCTATGTTTAGCGTTTAATGTAATTATCAGTTTGTCCGTATAATATTAGATTCTAAGGTGACAAAGGCGGTAATACGTAAACACGTGGAAATGCTCGACTGTGTATGATCAAAAGTTTTTAAAAATGTATAAAAGTAATTTAAGTTATTTTTTTAATATTTATTAATCATTTTACAAGTCTACAAATACATACATATGTATATAGACAAATGTATCGGTTGCATGCCTACGCGAGGCTCGGACTGTAGATCCCCTTTGCCTTTCCCTTAATCCTGGCATGAATATGTCTCGTTACGTTACCAACTACCACTACATTAGTTACATCCTGTACCGTTGTATTAAAACATGCGCAATGTTTTCAGGCGATAATTAAAAAGACAAAGGTGACTGTACGTATAGGAAAAGTTAATATCACTTTACAATTAAGATAAGCTGAGAAAAATAACGTATACGTCTTTAAGATGTTTTTTAACATGCGTTCTGTTCGGGCACAGAGGAGTGTTTTTAATTTATTCGGGCATAGTAGTAGGTTGACTTACCTAATTTTTCGACTGAATAATTAACAATCGACGCGTGTGCTAACTGTGTATCGAAATATTATTGTAAAATTTGCTACTTACATAAACAGCTTGTTTGAAAAAATTTTTTTTAATCCATATTCTAAATTATTCTTTTAAAACAATTTGAATAAAATACGCTAGTATGAAAAGTGTTTGCGAAATATTATCTTTGATATTATAGATTGAAGATCCGATTTAACAAATTCTAAATAACAGATAGCAGTGCTTTGACTGTGCTGCCAGATTCCCCCTCCACGAGCTAGGCCGCGCATCAGCCGGTGACGCCGGTGTCGGCCGGAACGCCGGGTACGATTAGTCCGGCCAAATTCTAGCAGCACTGCCTTCCAGTTTAGGCTGTCTAGGAACGCGGGCATAATTAGTCGCACGGGAGAATCAGTGCGCTTAAACTTCATTTGAGTCCGTTTTTGTTTTTGTGCCCCCTAAGCACCGTAAGTTGTACATTGTTCCCCGATATATCGACTCTGGCATTTGTGTTGTATCGGTCTGAGTCCGAAGGCACTGGCTGCTTCGATCCGGTGGGGTAAGTACATAACCTTAAAACCAAATCAACTCTGATCAGCTCCGATGCCTTTCCAACGCCCAAGGAGAATCCTGTGGCTCGTCCGTGTGGAGAAGTTTACACGGCCATTTTAGTGTGATCATCATACTAAAGTATGATTTTTGTACAATTTCGTTATGATCTTTTACCGTCTTCCTATGTAGAAATAACACCTGCGTTTGCAAACAGTACGCTTCTTCTTCTGGTTAATGGCTCCTGGATCCTAGACGGCTCCAACACGGCCATGACTAACCAATAGTCTTCTTCTTAGACGTTGTAGAATTATAAATGATTAATTGATGGTATTATACAATGCAGGGGCCCGACTATCAGGCCTCGCGCGGGATTAAAAATTTTTCTTCTAGGTTAGAAGACGTGTTTCACACTCCATGCCCCAAACGGAACTGCAAACAGTACGCGCTAGAAGATTACTGCGAGTAATTGTCATCTATTTAATCTATCCATTCATTCTTAAGTGGAGGACACAAGTGCGATAAGATAAAAAAATGGAGATAATGATAGCCATGTTCGGATTACATATAATTAAACTAGAATCCCTCTAATCAATTTGGCTGACAGACCTGTATCGCAAAATGACACGAGAGAGAGAGAGAGAGAGAGATATGACGCAGATGTATGTAGAATAAGAGGGAATATGTTTCTTTCTCTTTTCTCGCATCATTTTGCAAAACTGTTGACCGGACTCCGATTAGAAGGACTCTAGATTAAACTGCAGTCGAGAGTAATTTTCGATACACGGTATCGACTCACCTTTTTATGGTTTACTTTATCACACTTGTTGTGTCTCGATTTACTGGTCTCTGCAAGATTCGCTACCTCGCGATCTCACGTTCAGGAAGATAGTTGACGAGTAACCTCATCTAACGTGATAATTTTTTTCAGAGTGAAACATGCAATCTTCGTTGGCGGATCAGACGATTGACTGCATGGGAAGATGCGTGGATAATTTGACCATGGAAGAAAGAAATCTAATCACCGACAATATACATAAAACTTTAACTCACCCAAAAGGCAATGAACTATTTGCGAGCTACCTGGCAATGTTTCCGGATAGTTTGGCTTGTTTGAATATGTATAATACCTGTACAAAATACCTCGCTGAAGAGCGGAATAGACCGTGAGTCTATCGCAATTTACACTAGCATGAATTTTACACTGAGCATTCATGTTGTAAAGTGATAGGTTCTGAATATTCTTGTAACGTTTGAGACTTGGGATTTTGAGGAAATATGTGTAGAAATACTGATTAGTAAAAACAAATGTTATTACACATGTCCCGAAATTTGAGGATAATAAGATTGCGACACAAAAGTTCGTGAAAAATGAAGTAATCAAAGTGCTTACCATTGTTTAAAATAAAGTGGCATTTTAAGTGCATAAATGTTTAAATTTAAAATATAATCGGTTATATGCGTTGGTTAAAGAGTCAGCTGTCCGTGTGTCGTACCTACAATGCAATTAGCTATGTCGCTTCGCGAAAATTTATCTACTTAAAATATTGCATTATTTATTTTGAAAAATGGCATGCACTTTTATTACTTTCTTACGAACTTTTATGCTGCAGTTTTATTATTTTCAAATTTCGGAGCATATTTGTATGTATATATCTATGTATATAAAAATAGTATAGCTAATAAAGTATGAGAAAAATTTAAAAGAAGGAAATTACAGGATTGATAAAAATTCATCTGAAGAATCACTGGAATCTCTCATTACCAAAGTGAAAATGGTGCGGGAGACTGCTGAAGATATGAATGATCTAGATTTCTGCCTTATGAAGCAATTTAAAGTGGCCTTAGAAACAAGAAGTCAAGAAACATTGTTCAACGTATTAGAAGCTACTAAAGAGCAGTGTCAAGAGTGCTTACGAAAAATGCACGAACGTTTTAGAGATCATATTTTACGGTGTAAGAGTACTGCGACATGAAGCTAAAATCTTCAATACCATCGTACATTACGGAGATCTGTGATCTGTGCCTAAATTTATTTCATAGCCCGGGGGAGAAAAAGCCATATGTCCAATTTTATTTAATTGTATCAAATAATGTCAAATGTGACAAAATTTCATCAGATTATATCCAAATTTTAATGCATCCACTTATAAGTGTATCAAATGGAAAATACGGCAGATAAAATATAAACATCTGACCACTATATCTGACCACATCTGATTTGATACACTTATAAATGGACACATTAAAATTTGGATATAATTAATTAAATTTTATCATATTTGACTTTTTATACAATTAAATCAAATTGGATATATGTCTTTTTTCCCTGGAAGATTTAATTTATTTCTGATTTAATTTATTTCTAGGCTAATAGGGTAAAACTTTACAAACACGGACCCAGCCCCAATGACCATGACCTTGGCATATGTTGTCAAGGTCACCTTACTGAGTGACCTTCAGAAGGTTTTAGCCGTCGCTCGTTGTTCGTTAAAAAGTTATGGAGAAAAGAAGTTTCGCAAATGCTATGTAGTTCACGATATCATGTACGTTTAGGATGGCCTCACGTGGAAAGTTTCTGACACCATATACAATTCAAAAAATGTATAAGTGTCTTTGAGTAATAGTTTTCGAGAAAAATGATGGAGTTTAAATCTTATATCTTTTTAACGAACCAGTCGCAAGTTTTATTCTTTAGCACGGCGCGCTGTGCGCGCCCCACCCCGTCCCGCCCCTCCCCCTCCCACCCCCTTCCAACCTCACCCCCTCCCCAGCCCCTCCGTTTTGTGTATAATTTTTATGTGTGTATAAGAGAGGAAGCAGGTGGGACGGGGGTGGAGGTGGGGGCAGGGGAGGAGAGGAGGGGGGGTGGTGGGGGTGGGGCGCGCGTAGCGCGCCGTGCCAAAAACACTTGCGACTTGCGTGTTTAATCAACTTTACCGCGGGAAGGAAGAATTATTCTTGGTCAATAGATATATGGCAGATATAATAACGGAAAATATATATTGTAAATATCTTTTATTAAAATGGATATGCCTCACTCATTATATCAAAGAAACGATCAATACGTTTGTTTTACATAACTTTTTAACGAACAACGAGCGACGGCTGAAACCTTCTGAAGGTCACTCAGTAAGGTGACCTTGACAACATATGCCAAGATCAAGGTCATTGGGGCTGGGTCCGTGTTTGTAAAGTTTTACCCATAAGATATATGGTTCCTTATATGAGAGCAATCGATTCGCAGTTGGCACAGCTTAGATTTGATCTCGACTGTCATCCTATGTGTATCTTTATACTAAGATATATGCATATACAGAGTGTTAATAAATCATCGCATTGGCGGTCGTCCTTCGTGGCCTTCGCGTGCGCCTCTTCTCCTGTCCGTTGGGCTCGCGCGCTGATTGGCCCAAATTATTAATTTTCAATAATTAATTACTCGGAACCTAATGATCGGATCGACTTGTAACAAACGGCATTTTTCTTAGATTTTCGCGCGCTATCCGACGTTATACCGCCAATGCGATGATTTATTAACACCCTGTATATTAACGGTCGCATGTAAAAAATACGAAGTGAATTGTAACCCTTTTAGGGAACAACAATGAAATGAAACAGCTTCTCTAAGTCATTGCATCAATCGTTTCGTGATATTTATTCAGTTGAGTTTTTAAAGCATTTAATACTGTTCCTCATGGCGATGGGACTTACAGAGAAAATAAAATGATCTTGTAAACAAGAACAAGTTTTCCTTGCGTTTTCTCCTTTATAGTGTCAATCAAATCATGTCATATTTAATAATATCTCTGTACGAATAATACAGTTGTCGATCTCAACGCCACTCTTGTTTCTATTGTGGATCTATTCCCGGAAACAAGTAGAAATAAGATAAGAAATAAATAAAAATCTATCTAATTGAATTGACAAATTGACGAAAAAGAAATTACACGAACGTAGCTTTAACTTATTTTTTTTATAAAGATACCTTTCGACATACGTGAAACGGTGAAACTGTATTAAGATCAAGGAAAATAATCGGAGAAACGAATTTAATTAGATTTCCATACCGGTAGAAATAATAAAAGAATTGAAATTAATATATTTAGAGTATCATACCATCGATATTTCTTTTCCGTTTACGTGTATGTACGTAATATTTCGCTGACTCTTCTTTTAGGGGTAATTTTATTTTTCAATTTCTTTAATGGGGCACAAATTATTTTTAATGGTTAAAATAGTGCAAAATAATTACTGAAAGATCTAACTTGTTGTTAATCACATTTGATTTTACCGATTCATTCCGTAGAATTCTTTATGATATAAAATAATACAAAATTGCTAAAGAAAGTTTAAAGTTCAGTATACTGTGGTTCAGTGATGTCAGACTGGTCGCGTTTTTGCGACAGTAACCAGCGATGTATTGGTAATACCGTATAATGGGCACAGGTATGAGACTTGAATTAAAACATAAGTTGAAATTTTTAAGTATTTAATATTGTTATTCATTGTAACGGAGAACTTATAGAGGCTAAATAAAATAATCTTATCAGCAAGAACAAGTATCGTTCTATTCCTTATAATACATACTTCGTACTTTCTACTGTCAAATCACAATTGACAAATGTCGAACGTAACCCATGTAGAAAAGCCCGGGGAAAGATACAGCGCGACAATTAACCGAATCCGCGACACCGTCCGAAAACTAGAAGAAAGCTTGAAATGTGCGCGGGATTTGGAAGCTGCCCGCTTTTTGCGGTATTACGTCTTGAAGTCTCGCGATAAAATTCTGACGGATGATGTGAGAAAGATTAAAAGGCGAAATGAACAGATGTTGAGTGAGTAAAACTTTTATTCGATGCCGCTCGTTTAGCTCGTAATACGTTCAGAAGGTCGCTCTTTAGATTTATTTCGACAAAGCGTCACGGACGTTCAGCTCGGATCTCTGGACATATTGCCGGAAACTCTGAGGAGAGAAGTGCAGAAAACGTGGCACCAGAAGTAATCTCTTTTATCAATTATCTCTTTCATCAATTAACGATTTGTACGTTCACATATTACATTTCAGATACGACGCTTTGTTATCACAGAACGAGCAATTAAAGAAACAAATTATCATTATGGACTGCGCGATGAAACAGAAACAGAAAGAGGTATGCATGAGACTTTATTCGTTGCTATAAATTACAATGTAGCATAGAAGCAAATAAAATATGTATAAAACACATCATTTTTCACGATACGCGCATACATATTTTTAATGTACCGGATACTAATTTATGCATCAAATTAAGCTTTAGTGTGTCAAGCTACGTATTTCATATTTCGCAACTCTTAAATCCTATATGTATGTGTTGTTATTCTCTTTGATATTTTATTATATGATTTCCAATACAAAAGTGCTCTATATTATAGATCGATATTTTGCAACAGAGATTAATCATCGCAGAAATAAATCTTAAGGAAAACACTGGAACAATTTGCAAAAGATGCTGGATTCTAACGAATAAAACTTAAAATATATATGACAGATGCTTAAAATCGAAACAAATTAACGTAAATTGCTTTTGAAAATAAAATAAAAATTTTTAATGAAATAAAATATATCGCTGTTTGAAAGAATTGTTTGAGTATTAAGCGAATGCGTGTTTTGAAGCGGTATACAGTGATGCTTGGCAGAGGTAAACATTGCGTCGGTAAGAAATAAGATAATTAAGGGATTTAGTTACACAATCTTATTGCGAATGTAGGCGAAAGATCTGTGGCTTCCCTATATGAATAACACATTCACCGATCTCAGCGGCAGTTGCGTGTCGGAATCGTTTCCCGGAAACAGGACAAATCTCAAAAATAAGATAAGAAGTTCCTCGTAAGTAAATATCTAAAGAACGATCTAATGATTAAGCTCGGCGAGATAGGTCATTCAGTCGATTCTGCCCGCCGCTCGAGGCTCAGCAACGTATATGTGTGTGTTCAATAGCTTTTCTCGTCATCCTTGAGGTACTATTGTTAACGCGTTATTTTTTTATAGCAGTATCTCCAGTAGGCATAATCCATTGACGACTGATTTTAATCAACTGGTGCCGATTTTTATAAAATTTTGAAAGAATCGTCGTACCCCAAACTTCGCGATTTTGGACTTAAAATTCATTCCATGCTAGACTCTACATATTTATGTGAGACATCATTTTCCAAAATGAAATTTATAAAAAATGAAAAACGGTCTTCGTTAAGTGACGATTCTTTACCGCGTCTTATGCAACTTCCCACACAGCACGGGGAACTCCCAGAGAGCTCCTGGGGAGCTCTTAAAATTTTTCATAAGCTTAACTTGAACTTCAAACGAACTCGCACAGAGCTCCTTGGGAGCTCTCAAAAGCGGACATAGGAGCTTCCGGGGAGCTTCATTTAAGCTCGCAGGGAGCTTAAATAAAACTCCTAAGAAGCTCTCAAAAGCGGACATAGGAGCTCCCGGAGAGCTTCATTTAAGCTCGCAGGGAATTGAGAAGTCATGTTTTAAAATGTACGACATACGACATACAAGAGGTAAGTCATGCAACCTTGGACACTTGGGGAAGATTGTAGCAAAATGCTGAAAAAAAGGTACACCTAATATGACATAATAGTACAGAGTGCTACCCCGGTGAAATGCAAGACACCATATATATGGATAATCAATCACATTTTATGTAATATTAATGTTTTTCTCATTCGTATATTACATAATTCGATATATAAAAAGTACTGAATAATGTTACTAAATTTCAACGTAATTTTTATTCTATAAAAATCTTACAGGTACTTTAGCTCAGCGAAATGAACTCCCTGGAAGCTTCTTTTGTCGAATTTTTTAAGCTTCCCGGGAGCTCAGCGAAATGAACTCCCTGGGAGCTTAATCGGAGCTTTGTGCTGTGTGGATTGTTACATACAATATGCCTATATGATATTCCTGACTGTGAGCTTGCCTGTGAAAAATTCTGAAAATCGGTCTAAATAGTCATCATTTATTTCTGCTTCTGCCCAGTTGATTAAAATCAGTCATCAGTGGATTATGCCTACTGGGGAACCACTATAAAAATAACGCGTTAACAATAGTACCTCGAATCAAGGGTGACAAGGAAAGCTATTGAAAACACATTTAATTCTAATCGATTTGACAAATCGGCAAGAAAAAAATACGCGCGTACGTTATTTAAACTTATTAAAAAATGTATTTTTTTTTCAGATACTGCGAAACTTTATGTAGTTTAAGGAAACCAATCGGAAATTAATCGGAGAAATTAATTCGGATTTCCATATCGGTAGAATCAATAAAGAATTGACTAAAACTGGTGTATTTAGAATTAATCAACGACTTGTAAAATCTTAGGCGAGAAATGCAAGGAAAAACATCAAACTCGGTTATTTCTAACGACAGTATGTATCGGAGATTATGGGAACTATTAGGAACTGCTTGCATCTTTCTATTTGCTCCGCTCATCGTGATCGCTGTGATCCTTTTATACGGCTATCGTTGTTCGGTCGAGATCGTGTTAAGATTCCAGTTGAGGAACAAGTTCGCTGGTCTCTTGAAGGGCACAGACTGTGTATGGGCCGTTGAAGATGCCGTTTCTCTATCCGTTATTAATATCTTGATGATATTGGAGAAGACCACGCGGAATTCGAACACGATTTTCCTGGAGGATTTCAGAAATCTCGTAAATGATCGCATCGTTTCGAAGGCCGCTGGTACGACGCTCGAGAAACTGTTCTATCTGCGAAGCCGCAAGTTCGGCTATTATTTTTGGGAGAGAAGCGAGGAGGTGGACCTGAAAGGCAGGATCAGATGGCTGGAATGTGTGGACGCTAGCTGCGACGGGTCCTGCGAGGATACCTCTGGCGAATCCTTCAGGAAGACTTTGGAAAACGTCTGCAATAAACCACTGCCCGACGATCACAGAGCCGCGTGGGAGATCCTCGTCGGAAGACGCTGTCCTAGAGCCAAGTCTCGTGTCGAAGAGGGTCGATTGTCTCCCGAGGAGTGCTTCAACACCGACACCCGAAAGATTCCCATGTTAATTCGCGTTCATCATTCCCTCGGTGACGGAGTGGCCCTCCTGGGCCTGTTGCTCAAAACGATCGCCAAGGAGGACGAGATAAAAGAGACGAGAGTAAAAATCAAGAGTAACACGTTGGGCGAGACGGGAGACCGTTTCAAAGAGATCGTTCCAGTATTGCGCAATTCGGAGAGGAACCTCCAGAATGGAGCGGATGTTGTGCGATTCTATAAGAAGAATATCCTTGCCGCATCGATGCCTTTTACTTACGTAAAGTTCTCACGAATTGCGCAAGACCTGCGAGATCATTTTCCTGCGTCGTTGAAGTTTTTTAATAGTATAACTGTCGAGTTGTTGAAACAGCAAGCGAAAATGTTGATCGACCGTACGTGGTTGAGTTTCAAAGATATTGTACTGACAATAAAACAAATGTACGGTAGATTTCAGAAGATTACGATGATTTTGCTTTCTTCTCCGAAGTTCTTCATTCAACAAGCTGTTCGGGGCATGGACAAAAAGTATGTTCAATATTTAATTCACTGTGCATTTAGTATTTAACGATTAACTACTCTGTTAAACTGAATGTCTAATCTTCGAGAAAATAGCAACCGTGAAACAATAGACGTTTAAAAGCTCCACATTTAGAATATCTAATTTTAAAGATTAGAATTTCCATTTATGATTTCACAAAAAACAAAGTTTTATCAGCTTTATTTAGTATATCTGCCTTACACATAGTATTTTAAATAAGCTTTGTTATCATAAATATACACGTTTTTACAGCGCTCTGCATGGCCCGCCCCAAACGGGTAAAAAGATAATGTCCCACTGGTTAGAGAATGATGTGACAAACAAATCGCAGAATCTCTTGACGAAAATCCGGGAGATAAGAAAGAATACAGGTGCCAAATTTGAAGATATAATACTGACAGCTTTTTCCATCAGTGTACACAAATATCATTTACGCGTAAGTATGCGTAAAGCTTTCAAGTAGCAAATAAATCTAAAAAAATCCGAAATATGTTTAAATAACATCTAGAAAATCAGAAAATTTTTAGACACTTATGTTGTACCGATCCGTTTCAGAGTTCTTGAAACATGTGCCTTTCTTCTGTAGATCAACAAACCAGTTCCCGATGCATTAACGGTCATCTTGCCGATAAGACTATCAATGCCCGATGAAAGTTTAACGTTAGATAATAAGTTTTCGATTGCTCTCTTGCGAATTTGTATTGCCAATGCGAACGGACGAACAGTCGTCGGGTCAAATCGGGATTTTCAATTTTTTGAGCGTCTTCAAGATGTTACAAGAGCAAATAACGAACGCAGAAAGAGTTCAGACATTCTACTTAATTTTTGGACCATGAAATATCTGTCGGCGCTATTACCGGTGAAAATGTTAAGGACTTTTCTTTTAAGTCGCAGCACGATGGTATTTAGCAATATACGTGGGCCGGAAAAAGTGCGTATCCTGAATAATTCTTTGAGCAACATTGCCTTCTGGATACCAAACAAGTACCGTATCGCTAAATTTTGATTCATAATAATTAACAAATAAAATTATTATACATCGTAGCGACATATAGATATATTACGATCCGTTTTCAGAAGTACTACCGCTCTCGGCTTTGCTCTGTTAAGTTATGGAGGCAGCGTACACCTGTCTTTAATGGCTGATAAGTCAATCGTGAAGGACGAGAGATCTTTTATGGAGCTTTTAGAAAGTACTGTACATGAAATAGATGCTGCTTATAACAGTATTATATCGATGCGCTTTTTAAAGCCGTCAGCTCTTCCAATAGAAACACCCACGTAAAAAGGTGTGCAAATTAAATTTTAAAGTTTTCCTTATAAATCTTTAATTCTTATATTTTGTTTATACACGTATACCAATAGATATTTAATGAATTATATAATAATTGTATAATCATTATATTATTTATATTCCTAGATATTTATAAAAGGAGTTTCATATATTTTCAGACATCGGCGTGTTTTAAGGAAGGAGTACGAGCGACTAAAATATTTTACCTCTTTTATACATCTCAATATGAATGCATTTATGTTAAGTATAAATTACTGTCATACGTTTATTAATAAGTTTTTTACAGAGTTTTACAGAGATTAATAATGCAATCTTTTGAATTTTTTAAAAATTATATTTTATGAAGTTTTTTAATCTATTAATACTTTATAAGCATATTACATGTTAGTTAAAGAATCGAAAATTGTATTTCCATTAGTTAATTTAGTATTACATAATGTATTTAATGGTCAAATAACTAAAAACTCTCAATACTAAAATAAAGGAATTACAAAAATATAGTTTATAAATAGTACATTCATCCAAATATAGAATTCAGGATATACAGGTGAATGGTAGTTTCAATCCCTTATCACTGATCACATTGCCGCCTCCAACAACTAACATTCTCAATGACTATGACGCTAGACGGATTAAAAATGTGATAGATAACTGTAGTAGAATTAATATATGTATATATATATATATATATATATAGATACGTGAAATGATGTAACAGTGTTAATCTAACAGAGCTAGCCACAGATAAACTCGCTTTAAATATTGAGAAATTATATGCAGTTGATTAAGATAACAGTGAAAAGTTAGTGAGTTTTAATAATTTTTTATTACTATACAGATACAATAAGTAATATATATTCTTTGCATGTTTACAGCGTTTACTTCATTTGTGCATAACTATATATATAACGTATTTACATTACAGTCTTTAAATTACACTTAACTCTTTGGCATTGCAATCAAATGTTCTTGTGGCTTTATTACATACGAGATGCGCGATTCAAATTACACAGAACGGACTTCCAACACTTTCTTACAATTGATCAATTAGCGTCATTCCGTCAACTCGACATAAATAATTTCCAAGTCATCAAACGTTCATCAACAGTTTTGCTTCCGTTGCACCGACATCTCGGAAGATGTAACTGCCATCCACTCGTTGGTCGTCGACTGGAACCATGTCAAACCCAAGGAATATCTGCCGTTGAGATTGGCATGTTGGCAATGGCTGAACCACCATCCGCCCCGATAGTTGGCCGCACAGTCGGTGGTGCTGATGTCCATGTCGCGGTCCTTGGCGCTAAACGCCATGCCGTCCTGATAGGACAGCGCGTCGGTCGCGTTGCCCGAATAACCGGACACGTGGAGCCGGTAACCGGTCTCCTCGGAATCAACCGTGAAGTGCTCGTAGTCGGCGCGCCAGTGCACGCCGTAGGTATCGGTCAGGTCGACCTGCAGTCTGCTGCAGTTATCGCGAGTGAGTCGATGCAGTGCCTCGTTGCCGATCCAGAACTCGCTGACCGGCGAACCGAAGCCGACCGAGTACTCGTTCCAGGTGCGATCGAAGTCGACCGCGCCGTCAATTCTGCGAGCCACGACAATCCAGCCGGCGCGACAGGAGGCTAGCAACGGTGCTCCGGGACCAGGCGCAAGCAAAGTCAAGCCGTCGCGCTCCTCGCAATTTCCCGGCAGGGAATCCACTATGAGACGGTACTGATCTTCCACCTGTTCCAGCTCGTGCGTCACGTTCGCCGCCTTGGCCAGATTCCGAGAAAGGTCCAGTTGACTGAGGGTCTCGTTCAAGGCGTCCAGACCCTTCCGCTGCACGTCGCTCTTCTGCTGCAGCTGTGACGCGCTCACGCTCAACGCCTGGACCGTTCGTCGAAGATTGCCAAGCTCCCCCCTGGTCAGCGACAGCTCGGCTGCCTTGCGCGCCGCGTTTATTTCCAGCTTCGCTAGCTCTCGCTTCACCTCGGAACGATTGGTGTAAACGGTTTCCTCGAGCAGACGAACCGAGTCGTACAGTCGCACCACGGACTCGTCCAGCTCATTCATTGACACTAGATCCTGGCTGGCATTGGATACCCTTCGAGAGAGCTCTGCTTGCGCCAGTTCGAGGCTCCTCATTCGTTCCTCGAGATGCTCGCGATCCTCGTATACCACCCGCTTCTCCACTATCGCTCGTTTCCGCGCCACCACGGAGATCTTCCGCTCGACGTTACGCAGACGCTCCTCGAGGCGAGTGCGATGAGCCAGGGCGCGGGAATAGCTGTGTCTTCGGGCTGACGCAATCTCGTGCGATCCGCTCACCTCGTTGCGAAAGACGTCGGCCTTGCTGCGATGCTCCAGCTTCTGCGGGTCCTGCCGCTGATCGGGATGCGTAGACTCGCACTTGAGGGACTTCAGCTCGATCTGTACCGTGCTTAACTGCAACAAATGAAAAAGGTGAATTTTGCGTCCAGCGCAGCGAACGTACGTCTACTCGCGATTAGTCTATGACGTCTCTCTACGACTGAGATCTCGAAAAACGAGATATAATGGTCGGTATAACGTTTTAACATAAATGGTACAGTAACTTCGATTAGTGAAACCATTTTCTCTCCCGCGAATCTCTTCGTTCCACAAAATAAATTTCTACCGATTCTCTCTTTAATTCGTCGCCTTTTTACAGACGGTCCTTGATTATGTGGTATGCGTGACTGTGCGTGTGCGATACACGCGCATTTGTGGAATGCGTGAGAGTAGGGCCCACAGCTGTCGGTCGTGTGGCCGCTGCGGTCGCCAGCGTGTGTCAAATACCACGGTGGACGGTAAGGTTCGCCGATCGAAACTGGTACGAAACTCGGAAAACGAATTTATAAACGCACGCAGATGCGTGAGCATAGAATTTCTCCCGTGCATCGGAAATTACTAATTTAATATTATCTCATTATTTTAATACGTAACGTGATTTCATACTTCTGGCGTTATTTGTATCTCTTAAACAACTAATTTAGCGAACACGTTGACCCATTATCGCTTCTTCTTTCGAAATAATTTTTAAAAAAATCCAAGAAACATTGCACACCACCGCGGAATGATTTCGCGTAAAAATTGCACGAGATAAATTTGAACTTGCAAACTCTCTACTGCTCAATGACCCACTTCAACTCCCATTCCCCGCGAATCGGATATTTTGCAATTCTTATATTTTATTATATTCGACTCGTTATGACGATTGAGAGTTGAAGGTAGAAGCATAAAGGGCGGCGAGTATTCGAGAGAGAAGGGAAGAGGGTAGGTAGGTTGGTGGGCCTGAGGGGCATATGCGTGCGGCCCGAAGGAGGGGCCCGTTGCGCGGGCGAGGCGGGAGGAAGGGAAGAGAAGGGAGAGGAGGAGGTTGAGAAGCAGCTGCCAAGCGGCAAAACGAGAAACAGGAACCAAGCAGCTGGCCGCCCCGTGCAAGGCGCAGGTGTACGGACCGTGCACCCCCCTTTCTTCTTCCTGCCATAAATACTAAATGGTAGCGGCAGCCGTTATCTACGGACGCCCGTTGTCCGCGCGCGAGCAACCGCACGCCGGGCCCTTCGGCGTGTATACGCATACCGCGAAATCGATCGCGGGGCCCATTGTGGCCGAAAAAATCTGCCGTGGTCGGCGAGCGGCACGCGCGCGTCTAGGAATCCCGGCGGCATTGGGGAACGCGCATTAATACGTATCTGTATGTACATAGAATTCATTATTCTACGTACATTCGTGTAAAAGAGGAGAGAATCTGACTCGAGCGACGCTTAATTGGCTTAAACATCTAGCGATTAGCGCCAAATTACAACATGCATCAGTTAAAGTAAAATACTTGAGCGAAATAATGAATTTACACTCGGATAGAAATTTTGTTCGCACGAAGAGCAGACTCGCGAAACGAAACCTTAATCCGCCGCTCCGGAATGAAGTGTACTCTTTGCGCGATAAGTCTCTCTCTCTCTCTCTCTCCTCTCATTCCTACTCCCGGTCTGGTTCGACTGCGCTGCAATTTGGTACCATCTGCCTATCAGGCTTTGCTCTTTTTTTTTCCTCCGGTATCAGCCTCACTCCCCAACATCTGCGAGGAGGAGACAACTCACCTGACTGCTGACGTCCGCGCAGGAGCGGGACAGGAGGCTGGCGCGCTCCTTGGTCGCGGCGATGTCGAGCCTGATGGTACCAAGGGTGGCCTCGATCTTGGTGATCCTGCCACCGAGGTCGCGCACGCTCCTGCCGACCTCGGCGACGTCGCCCTTGAGCAGGGCCAGCTCGCTCCTCATCCTCGAGCGCTCGGCGAGCTCCTCGCTCGCGTTCCGCGTCCTGAGCACTTCGGCGACCTCGCTTTGTAGCTCCGTCACGGCGCTGCCTAGCCATCGCACCCTCAATCGCTCGTTCTTCGCCTCGTTGCCACTTCCGCCGCGAAGAGCGTTCACTTCCTTCCTGCACGTGCGAGGGGATACGATTATAATACGTTTTTGTGGTAGCCTCCCCCCACCGTCATTAAAACCAGACTAAATCTTTTATTTACGATAATAGCAGCAGAGACTGACGTTATTTTCAAAACAAGGATGACACTAGGGTAAATCTATTCTCTTTTCCATCTTCCATTTCATCAAAATAACTGTCATACTATTATTGCCAACGAAACATTACCGCGCACCTAGATTCAGGTAGATCTTACTCTTACATTCTGACAATTTTGTATAAAAAGGAAACTAGGATCCTGGCCTTTGTAAAAAATTTGCCCGACAGAAACCCGAGACTTCGATGAACTTGTGAAGCTTCTCGTACATGCATCGGCCGATAATTATGCGCTTGGCGAGCTCTATACGTGTGTATTGTATTACGATACACCACGCGCAAAGAAAAAAATGCGGCAAATTGCGTCTTACCTCAGTTGCTCCACTTCATCTCTAAGGACGATGAGCTCTGTATTCTTTTCCATTGCCTGCTTCAGACTCTCCTCCAAGGCGTTGTAATCCTCCTGTCGGTGGTCCAACAGTGCGCTCACTTGCTCCTGCAATAGCTTGATCGTGCTATTGAGATCCTCAACCGCGCGCGTGCCGGCAATCAACGTGCTCGCGGCGATAATAGCTGATAACAGCAACCGTAGACTCGCCATGTCCGCCGATCTCTCGAGTGTCTTCAGTCAAGATCTCCCGACTTCTATACTTCTTAATTCATATATTCTCCTTCAGGGATATATTTTATTTTATAAATCGTGTATCGTGTATATTATTTTATCAGATCCTCGGGCTCAGAATTAACAGATCTCCAGATTTAATGTTTCCTAAGGCCCCGCATCTTGGAATTTCTCTTCGAGATCTCGATTTGGAATTTCCTCAACGAGAATTCGCCACGACTTATTCGGCGATCGACGAGATTCACCGCGATTCGACGTGATTTATTTTTATTTTTTGCACACGATTTATCCGATTGATCTCGAGATCGTCGAGTTGAGTCGCGAAGTTACGTGTCGAAGCCGGGGGGACTGTCGCAGCGCGCTCGATCGCTTCTCGAAAGCCTACTGGCGCAGCCGAAACGGTGTACGAGTTTTATATCCCTTGGACAAAGGTCTCCGCTCGGACCCGGTGCGGAGCAGGTGTTCGGCAACACCAGGCCCTCGTCAGGTATATATTGTATCGCGCGCGGCCGGCCCTATCCCCCACAATATGCCTGCTATGCAGCCCCCCCCCTGCCCACTCATATTCCGAGATGAGTTTGAGATCGTAATAGATACGTCGTACGAGATCGCGATACGATAAATGCGCGAGTACAGGGTGCTGGGTAATAAGCGCGTCTGGCGAAAATTTGTTCTTTTTCGATAAAATTTCGACTCGAGTTAAATCTATAGATTCTTCGGTAAATTTTTTGAAACTAATCTTCACATTTCTGATAAATATCTGCCCAGTCGAGTTGTTCCGTAAAATTACGATCTAACTGAAAGATTGGACGGATAACACTCTTGTTTGTTCGCGATTTTTAGGACAAGTTTAAATCCGAATCGCAGGAATGTGTCACGCGGATGTATCGCGAGCGTTTGAAATGGAGGATGTGGATTTGTTGTGTCGCCCAATTGGAGAGAAACGAGAAGAGAGCAAACGGAGCCAGGCATTCGGCATTCTCTCTCGGGTAAAATTAATAATTTATTGAAAACAATGTCCAACTCCTGTCGGAGTCTACCGTCTATATTTACGGATATGGTAACGCGTTAGTAGATTATTCAATTGGGGTGATGGAAGTACGGCTACGTGTCTATGTGTTTGGTTTTCGTTTTGTATGACAAAATGCTGAATATAACACGGAAATTTCCCACGCACGCACAGACGCGTGTGAAAATAACATTCTCCCGTTAAATACAATGTCATTCGTTCCTGAATACGAATATCTCACGATATTCCTGCGAAATCGATGCTGACGATGCTAACATTATCGGATATTCCACGAGTAATAATATGGCAGAAAATGGCACCGAGCTAATTATTCCAGTGAAGGCGAATAATCGATTCAACGAATACGATAGATTCGATTAGATACAAAAGAGAGCTTTTGCAATACCGTACATTGAATGTGATAAACGTGCTGAAAATCACACGTGCAATGATGCAACGGAAATGATTGGCGAAGCATTGATTTATTTGCAGCCTTTGCGAAATATACCAAACTCGCGAGTTCAACGTTTACGGTATCCGAAAGTACGATATTGCAAAAACTCGCCAACAATCGCGGGTTGGAGCGAAGGGTGAATTGGATCGAAAGATCTGCACCACAGAAACAGCATACATATAGGAACAGAAAGCAACAGATACTGAAAGAATCTTCGAAAGATACGAAAGCGAGTCGAAACGAATCGGCCCGGGAGTTTTTATCATAATCCGATTCACCCTGCAATTCCGGCCAGCCCCATTACAATACGTTAATTAAATTAAATAATTTACCGCTTACTATTTCGCGGCACCGAGCTCGCGTTAATTCCCGTGCACTACGTTGCAAATCCAGGCAATAATGCACTTAAATGCCGCTCTCGGGAGGGGAGCGTAGCTACAGGCTCTTGTGCTCGGAAATAAAACATGGAATTCCTACAACCAACAATTAGTCGAATTTCAGAACGCGTAAATTAAAAAAATCTCAACAAGATAAAATAAAATTATAAAGCGAACGCAGAAGTTCCTTCTTTTTGTTATAATATTGCTACGTCCCTTGGATTGGGGCATTTCGTATGCCTAACACGTGCCAGTCGCGTGTCCCCAATAAATTCTCTAAAGAATTACGTCACTTGAACGCGTCTCGGCGTTCAGTATTTGCTACTCTGTAACAAGTACTACATACTTAGCACATACTACGGAAGTTAATCCGCGATTACACAGCCAGAGAGTCAAACTTAATTTCGTGCAATGTGCGTACGTTAACGCTAATTGGATTCCTCCTTAAGTCTGGGCAGATCCGTACGTGCCGGTCGGCGGTCGGTAGAGTCTGGGCAGCGTCAGAATCTGCAAGCTGTTGAACGCGTATTTGCGCACACCGATGTTCTTCCACGTGTTCTCCCGGCGGCATCCCTCGCTAAAACAGACGGTAGCAATGCGTTCATTCCGGATAATTCGCAAGTTACGAAAAAGAAAGAAAGAAAAATCTAATTTTTTAAAAGATAAATATAATTTTCCAAATTACTCGCAATACAACAGTTTTGGTACACTGCACAGAATGAAAATCGTTCTTACTGATCAGTTCAGCTCAAATATGTTTCTCTTTCTCATGCATTTACCTTCGCATACAGTCGAGAGCCCTCATATACTCGTGTTCAGCCAGGTGATATTCCGACGATAATATATTGACTTGTTCGAGAGTGATCGACATACCGGTCCGATCTTTCGCGCTTTTGCAGCTGGTAAATCTCAAACCGCGCATCCTTCGGCATATTTGCGAGGACAATTGCAAAATTTCTACGTTCTTATTGACCTTCTCTTGCACGCACGTTTTTAAATTGGTTATCATGTCCGACAATGTGTGGCCCAGAATTGACCTAGCGGCAACTGCAACAAAAAGATTTAATCAACGTCTAGAATCTATCGAGAAGAAAAGTATTTCAACAACAAAAGTCTAAAAGGCATTCTAAGAAAATGTCTGGCAGATTAAATGTTTTAAAGCTAAGATTCTTAAGTTTTGTAAACGATATTTCTTAGCTTTTCGTGTCTACGCAATGAGTTTAATTGGCTTTATACTCACAACGTGTAGATGTAGGTTCCGTCGGTAGATTCAGCTTCTTAAATCTCAGATAATATTCGTTCAATCTATCGAAATTGTCCATATTGCTTTTCTCCTGCGGTTTCGTGGTACCGAGGCTCTCGGCTAAGGAAGCCATCTCGTTAATACCGACGTTGAAGAACACCGGGGTCACATTGAACGACAACGTTTGTCTCGAGGAGGGCACTAATGGCAAGAGAGAGTAAATCGCGTCCGGAACCGGGAGTATCACCGTCAGCGCACTCCGCGATCCTACCACGCGCGGCACAGGGAGCTGGAACGCATTAGACTTTCCCTCAACCCTGCAAGGATAGCAAGCGCGGTGAGATAAAATCTTTTTCTTAACATAACTCAATCGAGAGATGACAAATAAAGTCTCCCGCCTACCTGCGTTGAATGCCGCATCTGGACAGAGTGAACGTGACGGTGTGCGTGTCCTCGACCGCTACGGCCATGTCGCCCCACATGTCTATCTCGTCTCCGTAATAGCTAAGAAGGCCTTCGAAGGAAACCAATGGTCCCAGGGTCGTGAGAATTAGGAGAAACATTGGGTCGGGTCGTTGGCACCATAGTTTCGCCATTATGCCAGTTACTAAGGCAGTTAGCTGAAATTTCACGGGGATTATTCCCAGATGCTCTCACACATTTCTCACCAAGCTGAATATAAGACGCTCACCGCTTGACTGAAGCAAACGTCCCGTCTATACCGAACGTTGCACACGCGCTGTGCCGTTTTCGAGTCTTCCTGCACGCGAAATACAGAGTGCGTGAGCCTGGCAGTTTTCAGCAGGCCGTCCATGGCCTGCCGCAGCTTCTTCATGCTCGGCCTAAGCTCGCTCGTCCAGTCGACGATCGACGCGAAGTCTAGGCCTTCGGTAAACTTGTTTCTCTGTCCCGAATTATTTTTGATCACGCGCGTCATGGAATCGACCGCTTGGCACACTTCATTGGAAGACGAGTTACGATAAGTATCGGTTATACCTGACAATGCATTACGTTGCAGGTTTTACTACGTTTCCACACAAAGAATCGCATCCTAGTAAAGCGGCTTCCTTACCTTCCTTTGCCCTGGAGAACGCCGGTTTCTCCAACCCGGAGTTCAGCTGCTGCCGCTCGTTCGACTCTTCTAACAATTTGTTCGACTCCTCGCACTTGATACCGTTCTTCGGCTGAATTGTAACAACTTCAACATTGTGCCGATTGCTCGGCAAGCAACCCTTTAGACTCTGCGATCTGCCCATGCTACCTTTGTTACGTAATCGTACAGCCGGACTGCTGCATCTACCGCAGAGGAATTTCACCTTCGATACGAGGCACATAACGCTCGCCTCGATATTCAACTGAGTGAGATCCCACGGCTCCGGCTCGTCCGTAGGCTTGTAATAATTTGCGGATGGCGAGTTGCACATCTTCTGAGTGTCCAAGAAACGCTTGCACGGATCAGTGTCGTTCTTCAAATCCTCCTTCTCGTCGTCATAGCCTTCTTTTTTCTCGTTGTCGTGACATCGCTGAGAATTCTCGTCGGTGTCCGCTTCCGCCTGCTTAGGATCGTCCTCCACGTCTGGAAATATTACGAAATTCTCTTCCGCAACATCGCCCTCGCCGATGTTACTGTTGGACGCCTCGTTTCTCGAGTACGCTATGGAAGCGTACTCGCCATTTCTGATGCCGTTCTTCGTCCAGATGTCCTCCACGCACACGGGAGTGTCGGGCGTGACGAAGTCGTCAAAATCGGGACTCTTCAAGTCGAAGTTGAGCTGCTGCGTGATTCGTTTGAACGGTGACAAGGATTGATTGACCTTGAAGTCCAGTGTCAAGGTGTCGTCCGAAGACGAGGTCGCGGTCGAGTTGTCCTGGACCTTCGCGACTTTGTACTCTTCTAAAAACGTTAAAGCCTCTTCTACCAAGCCGGGATCCCATAGACTAAGTAAGATCCTGGTCTTCGTTATCATGTCCTCGCATATCGGCAACATGCCGCTCGTTTGCTTCTCCTTGGCGAGTTTCATCAAGGATCTCATTGCCTCTACGACGTCCCGGCGTAATTGTTTGATCGCTTGGATCGCGTCATGCGCCATCGTAATTTTGGATGTTCCCTGATAGAGCTGATTACTTCGCATGGGCGACTCCTTTAGTGCCTGCACCAATCTGCAAACGAAAAACAATATTATTAAAAACTATAAGTGCATTTTATATATTTATAGATGATCACTCGGATAAGAAACTGTACCTTATGAGTCCACCGTTTTTGCTCTTATGGGAATGGGCGGTAAAAGCTCCTACGCTAATAAAGTCATAAAATCCGCATTTGTTCAACGTGTCGTTGTGAACCCACATTCGTTGAAGGTGTAAATTTAAAGGCGCAAATTCGAGAGTGCGGTCGTTCTTTCGCGACGACTGCTTGAAATAACTCCCTAAAATACGAATCGTCAAACTAGAGTACCAGATTTTAAGAGACCGGCCAGAGCTTACTTTCTTTCACGAATGCATTAAACTATTTGTAAAGTAAAAGAATGGATATCGACGTCCTCACCCTTGTAGGCGGCTAAGTTTTCTTTGGCTTGGGAATATAAATGTAACAAGTGAAGATGACGATCGAGCAATTCGATTTGCTTCGTGTGCCAAGGCTCCCTCAGTTCTCCCATTCCAGCTACCTCTTGCAACAACTCCTTTTCCTCCTGTATCCAGATACCCCTGCAATTTGCCGCCACGTTATTTCACTTCGCGCTTTCACCATCCATAACGTAAGGCGAGATAAAATATGCTCACAGTAAATGTTGCGGAAATTGAAAACAGAGTTTGCTCTCCGCCATAATCTCATGTACGCATATATCACCCCCTAATCCGGAGTGAAATCTACAATAAGATCAAATTAAATGGCGGCTATAAAATATCTTATTGCCAGTAAAATCGACTCGCTGGTGTAGAAACTTACCTGTAAGTCTGCACGAATGGATTTGCAAAGAGAAGCTTTAACTGGCCTTGATGCGGGAACTTAATTTTCGTCCCTAATCTCGGAGGTAACGATTGCGAGCGTCTGTGCGAAGGTAACTGAAAAATATTGTGAATATCGTTAAAACTTAAGTGTTAGTTTCTATATATTAGCAGTACAACAAATCTGTTATTCATCAAAAATGCTGATTAGCTTCTTACTTGTTGTTGATTATTACTGCTATATACTGCGTTTCGCGATGGCGTACTCTCTGTGCTATTCCCTTTATCCTCGGCTTCCAGATTCCACACATTAATCGTTAAAAATCCGACGGTCGTTGTCTTCGCTGATTTTAATGGTATCCTTAATCTAAAAAAAAAGCAATAAAAGATGAAAATAATTAAAACAATACAACTAGATCATTTTAATAACCCGCGTTTAAGCAAGAAAAGTTGTACGTGTGTCAATGTATAAAAATTTGATTTAAAAAATGTGTAATTGAAAATCTGCGAATTTTATTCTTTGCGTGATCTTCGAGATTTCATTTAACAGCGACACATTCGAGTTGGAATTACCTAGGAGTGTCTTGCACTATACTGAGCGTCACGACCGCGCTTCCTATCGGAGTCGCAGTCTGGCTGACTCTCTCCCTGACATCGTATGCGGTTATCCTGATTCTCGTATCAGTGGTTAACCCGTCGCTGGCTCGGAAGCTTACCGTAGTTAAGAAATTCGGATTACTACTTCGCTGAAACATGCCACGAGAAAACTCTCACAGAATGGCGCGAATTAGGGAGGAGACGCTTTTCCTTTCAGGAATTTTTCTCGTAGTTACCTCTACGACTTCCGTACGTGCGTACTTAATCCAAGTTTTGGAAGATTTCGACTGTACATCCATCTCTAAAACGGGAGTGGGTGGTCGGCCGTGTCCATCGCACAACAGATTGTCGCAGGCTAACGATATCTCGCATATTGGTACTTCCGCCGGATCTGAGGAAAACGAATTCATCAGGAGATCAACGGTGAGTGCCAAATTTAACCAACTGTATATTAAGCTCTGTAAAGCGTGAATAGCGATCCACGCAAGATACAATTTTACTATAATTTACCATGAAGCTTCGAACAGATGGCAAAGTTGACAACTTTGCTATCTTGACAGTTTATTAATAAAAATTATTAGGTGTACAAATGAATAATCCAATTTTTTCAGCTACATTCAGGGTTTATTTTAAAAGAAAGTAAATGAAATTGTTCAAAGTATTCGCCGTTGCTTTCTATAACTTTAAGCCATCTTTCAGGCAACTGATGAATTCCATCTCGGAAAAATATTACGTCTTTGGATACGATAAAGTCGTCAAGCCATTTTCGGATCTCATCCACTGTTTGGAAGTGCATATCGGACAAGGCGTGTTGCATCGACCGGAACAAGTGGTAATCGGATGTAGCAATATCTGGTGAATACGCCGGGTGCTGCAAGACGTCCCAGCCAAGACTCATTATGGTGTCTTTTGTATTGGAAGCAATGTGTGGCCTGGCGTTGTCATGCAACAATTTCACTGGACGTTCTCCTTTGCCAGTATACGGGCGTTTTCGTTCCAATTCTTGACTCAAGCAGATTAATTGACGTTGGTAGCAGTCCGCAGTAACTGTTTCACCCGGTTCCAACAACTCATAATAAAGCACGCCCTTGATATCCCACCAAATGCAGAGAAGAACCTTCTTTCCGAAGCGATTGGGTTTTGCGACCGATTTTGATGATTCGCCGGGATTTACCCATGACTTTCTGCGTTTCGGATTGTCATAGAGTATCCATTTCTCATCGCCCATAACGATTTTCCACAAGAAAGACTTCCGACGCTGCTTATTGAGAAGAGAAAGACACGCTGCCACTCGTTGATTTTTGTTGGTTTCAGTGAGTTCATGCGGAACCCATTTTCCTTCTTTCTGGATCTTTCCCATCTCATGTAGACGTTTGAAAATCGTTTGCTGCGTTACTCCCAACTGTTCTGCAAGCTCTTTTTGCGTTTGTGCCGAATTCTCAGCAAGCAGTTGTTCCAAATCATCGTTGTCGCGCTTCCGAGGGCCTCCAGGGCGTTATTTGTCGATTAGACTAAAATCACCGCTTTTAAACCGCTTAAACCAAAATGCGCACACATCGTACGATACAACACCTTCGCCGAGAAAGGAGCAAATCGATTCGCACGCTCTTGTAGCATTTTTTCCTTGCTGGAACTCGTAAAGAATGCAGTGTCGGATATGCACCTTATCTGTTGCCATTTTCGACTGTACTGAACTGAATACTTTTGAAGATTACGTTGGGCCTTTCGCCAAACTATATGTTCTTTTTAATAGTTATATTTCAACATTGTATAAACACAAAAGAGCGGGAAAATCTATTCAATTTAAAATTGATTTCATAACTGCTTAAAATAATGTGGATTATTCATTTGTACACCTAATATAATCTTTGACATAATTAGCGTAAAAAATTGAACGTCAAGTTCGTCAGTGTATCTTGAATTCAATTTTTGTTAAACTCTTCCAGGTCTAAGATCAAAAAAGCTTACAATAATCAACGCGCGTAAAAGAACGCAAAACGAGGAAGACGAAACGAGGCGAAGGAAAAGTTGTAATCTTGGGGCCGTTAAAGGGACCGTTCGCACCTGTGAAGGAGCCGCGCTGCAGCCGCAACATCTGTATGTCGGTGTCGTGCTTGTGCCCGCTGAAGGCCTCGATGCGCTGCCGCAACGACAGCAACTGGCTCCGCATGCACTCGTAGCTGGCCAGCTGCAGCGCCTGCAACCAACTGTCCCGTTCCTCGGCCGTGTTCGCGCCTAACTGTTGAAACAAGCCTCCGTCGAAAACTGCAACATTTTTCCCCTCTGGGCTTTTTGACGTCGCCACGCACGCCACGTGAGAGCGGCGATGCAGGGAGGAGGATAAACGGGAAGGAGAGACAGTACAGAAGCCGCGCGAAGATACTTGCCTATGCTGAATCCGTAAGGGACGTGGCTGCTGGACGGATCCACGCGGACCGTGCACTGCTCCAGTATGATCACCCCCAGCGGCTCCGACCACTGCTCCCGCGATTTGAAATAGAACAGAAGGTTGCCTCGCAGTCTGCACCATCGTTCGAGACTTACTGCACAAGAGAAGCAGAGCAGCGGCGGCTTAAGCGCGTATCATTCGTACTCGCTGGCGGATTTTCATTCGGGAGTGGGGACTCTTGCGCGCGATAACAAGCGGCGGAGAGGAAGAGACGGGGAAGAGGAGAACGTCTCTCGCGTGGTTAAGTTGCGGGCTGCCGATTAGCTGATGTGAATTTCGAAAGAACGTATCAGTCTCGAACGGTCGTTAATAAAAGACATGGGGAACGGAACCGTAACTAAGGATACGCTGCAGCAATCAGACTTAAATCTACCGCGCCTCTGATCACTGATCTGCGCCAAGATAATAGTCTTCTACCAGACAACTTTTCTTCCGTAAAGTTGCGGAATATTTTCACGCGCGTCCAATCTTATAGATGCGCCGTCCTTTCGAGAGTAAAATGAGTTTCCTCGCGAGACCGATTGCCCTTATCATTCCGTCATTATGTCGCTGCGTCCTTGATCTCTCCCCTTCTCATCCCCTTCGTCAATGCGATCGATGCGATCTTGGACGGGAATTTACGGTACAAGCACTCGAAGTAAGAGTCTTACATGCTGCAAACATATAAATGCAAAATGCACACAAGCACGTATATGTCCAAAAATGTTTTCTACTTATTCGCTCGTTGGAACTTAAAGTGATGTGTCTCGTGTCGCGGGTGTTTACGTATCGAAACGCCGTCGCTACGAGTTTTCGTCGCTTTTCCAGCGAGTTTTTATCGGCAAACGTACACAACGTGCGAAGCATTCCGTTCCACATGCGAGGCACTCTCGATTCACCAAGCGTTCTTTGTAATTTACATATCACGCATTTTATTAACTTTTTTAACAAAGAAGCAATCGTATATACATGGGTTCTTGTTAACAATTTAAATACAATGGTCAAGCTTCTAATCGACCATGACTGGCGATGTGTTTTTAACACGGAAAATTTATTGCGAAAAATATCACCTCAGCCAGGGTTTGAACGTGGACCTCCCTACACTCTAGACGGGCGTCTCACCAATTCGACCACCGAGGCGTATCCTCGGCCCTCAGAGGCGAGACGCCCGCCTAGAGTGTAGGGAGGTCCACGTTCAAACCCTGACTGACGTAATATTTTTCGCAATAAATTTTCCGTGTTAAAAACACATCGCCAGTCGTGGTCGATTAGAAGCCTGATCATTGTTAGTCGTTTGCTGACGTCAAATAATTCTTGATGTAATTTAAGTGCATTTCAATGATGAAGAAAGACAGACTGAAACCACGAGAATTTGTCAAGATTGAATTGCAGGGTTGGGAAGTAACTCGTTACTTGTAACGAAGTTACAGTTACTTTTTTTTGTGACTTAACTTCGTTACTTTCTCTCCATCTGTAACTGTAACTTAACTCGGTTACATTTTTTTTCGATAACTAGTAACTAATTCAATTATAGTTACATTAAGAGTTACAATACTTTATATGTATTTTAAACTGCCACAGATCGCATTTGCGCATTAATGCCTTTATCGGCACTTTACAATTCAAATGCAGAGTTGATATTTTTATTTTTATTGCAAGAAAGTAACTGCAAAGTAACGATTCGTTATTTTTGGAGTAACTGTAACGCGTTACTTTTCAGAATTGGTAACTTGTAACTGTAGCTAGTTACATTTTTAGCAAAAAACCAACTTAGATACCTTTATAAAGTAACTTTCCCAACTCTGTTGAATTGTTCCCGCTTTTATTATGCTGAACCGAGAGTCAAGAGGCTCAGCAAGAAGTATGCAACATGCAAACATTACACAACAAGTAGCAAGAAAATTAGCAAATGGAAAAGTTAGATCCAGAATATTAAACCCGGGAGAATAGAGATGTTAAATTTTCGAGTTGTTACATGTCAACGTTCGCCAGACCGTTCGATCTTCCCGATCTCCGTTTCAACATTCAGCTGATCAAACGGGGAGATATTAGTTTCGCTAAAGCGTGCGTTGAATCACTCTTGCAGGTGTCTCTTGTGAGTGTCGAAGGAAACGTCCACGCACGTTAATCAAGATCAGCCGGGCCGTCACAGAGCGTGTTAGTCGCGTTGAAAATTGTGAGACGTGAGAGCGTGAGATGGACTGCCAATAAAGTACGTGTAGTATTGTAGCAAAATGCACTCGGGCAACAGATTGTACCTTTGCTCGCGCCGGCGGTAACGCAATTGAGATCTCGCAGGCTCTTATGCGACCTTCCTTTCTGATTTTTGTTGTCGGGTTTTTTACCTGAAAATTGCACGAGATACTGATAGCCGCCACAACGACATCCTAACAAAGTAAGAGGGAAGGGAGAAAGAGCAGCGAGTGTGACGTAATTTTATCTGCGATTATGTCAGGGCGTATCGATTTATGGGCAGATCGCGCGAAAGTGAAACGCGAGTCCGCGAATCCCTTATCAGTCTATTAATATCACGAACGATCCTCTTTATCGCCGATAATAATAACATGGAGAGAAGCGACAGAGCGTCCCATTTTTCGTCCGAGTCTATCGATAAAAATAGAAATTATTCTTCCAAATAGGAGCGAGATCAGAGTTTCGCTCTGTTGTTAGAATATATGTGCGTCCTGTAATATCGAGACATCATTGTCGCGGTAATATACTTTTACTCTGATTCAAGTAGCCGAATTAAACTCGAGTTGGTCAATAAACTCTGGATACAACATACAGTTTAAAGTAGCCGAATAGACTCCGCTCCGTTCTCGACACTCCTTCGCGAAATAATTTCTAATGCCGACGTCATTCAACGTATGACAAAACAAATATTTTGCTTTCGTGCAAAGCCATGCCGCAGTACGAGAGGACAGAGAAGTGTCATAAATTATCAGTCTCTCCACTGCTATCGCCGGCTATCGCGGACAATTTGCGAGAACCGATAAGGTCTCCATTTCGTGCATCATACTCTGTCGTATTAATGCGTGACATTTAATATATCACACAACTAAGGGTACACGAGTCTAAATATCAAACAGCTCCAATTCAGTGAGAGAACTTTGAATGGCGATAATAAACAGCGAATTCCTTTCTCGCCAAGACAAACCAGTGCAGCCATTTATTCGCTTTTTACTCGCAACACATTCAACAATCTCCGATAATGGCACAACTTTCTAGGGCTCTACGTGAAACGCTAAACGAGGGATTCTGGTCGTACAAGTCCGTCGTCAAGCCTTGATTACGAGGGGAGGGGGGGGGTCAATCATGCGGTGGTTTCATTCCTGAGGATAAGTTCCTGCTGCTGTAACTTAAAATGAGGCCATTTACTGCGCTTGTGTGTGTAAAACATGCCGAGAACTCACTTTCCGTCCTGCGAAAGAAGCCCTCCTGCCGCTCTCTCACGTACAGGATGCCCTCCTTCTCGAATTTCTGCGAAGGCTGCGTAGCCAGCGTCAACAGCTCTTGCTTATTGTATCTCATCTTGCACGGGCAATCAAGCCGGCATATTTACAGTTTCCGCTGCTTACTCGTCTCTTATGTACTGCAAGTTGGAACACGGGGGAGCCTTTAGAAACCACAACGTCGCGTCTACCGTTCAGCCTTTCTCGCCAAGCAACCGCGGTGCAATCTCGAGCTTTAACGCTCGGGTTCTCTTCGTTATTTTTACCTGAGATGTAATTTGACAAGTGTGACTGTAGGGAGAGCCGATACCTTATAGCTTTACAACGCAATCCCTTAAATCGCACAATGACGGCTTGCAACAGTGAGAACACAATGGTCAAAAATATATCGTGAGACATTTCATAATGTAGTTTCGCAATCGCGCCCCGAGAACTCTGACAAGCACTCCTCGGCTTCGACCGAGTCAATCGATAGAGCAGCGCACTTGGATCGATCGAGGGACGATCATCGAGGATTCTCTCGTGGAAAACGAGGGATGCCAGAGGGTGAGAGAGAGAGAGAGAGAGAGAGAGAAAGAGAGAGACGTACCATTTTTACAGATGGATCACTGCTCGCGGCCCCTCTCGCTGCCATCGGCATTGCGGCACGGTATCTGAAAGATGAAAACACGCTAGAGGAGACCAAGCACCGGCGGCGACGGCATCGAAAGAATTTGGATTCTCGCAACACACTCACGCGACGCTGTCTCGACGTCGAATTCTAGGCGGTAACGGGGGAATCCAGGGAATCCGGGCTCGCCCGTTCTCGCGGGGGGGCCGCGTTTGCGGGCGCAAACCGGGGAAACCCCTGTCAAAAACCGGACGTGTCACGCGCCGCCGTTGCCCGCGGACAGCCCATTCCCGTTGCGTTATCGTTGCGGATCAATCTCGGGCCGACGGGACGCACGTGCGACATGGAGAACGAGAATCGGGGTTTGGTTTGGAGAACGCGAGCGGATCACGGCGGCCGAAACTGCACGCGCGATTCGCGCGCGACGCCCGTTAACGCGTCCCGCGAGAATGTTAAGGCGCGGCGGCGTCGTCACGGGCAAACATTGCGTCGCCGTTCGGCGATACGTCCGGGGCAATAAACATCGCGGCGAAAGAAACCAACACGACGAAAAACCGTGCACGCCGAGCGCGAGTAGCGCGGCTCAACTGGGTGCCTCTCCCTCGATGCCTGGGCGAGCTGGCGCCATCTTACCGGCCGCTCGCGGAAGCTTCAAACCAACAGCTCGATGATTGATGACGTCCACCCGGTGGCGAGATCTCGACAACCAGGCTAATTTGGTAATAGCAGAGAGAAGCCTGAGAGATGTCACGGCCCCGTTTTTCGTGATACGCGAATGCGATACGCCCTCTGTGGACATTGAAAACGTGATAACTACGTAGCCAATTTGCACATTTTGCTAAGTGGGGTAACGCAGATTTGCACAATTTTAGCCCCGTCCCGCGCTATGGTTAGATCCCATGCAATGATCTTGTACTTAAAATAATCTTAAGTACAAGAGCATCGCACAGGACCTGATTATAGCACGAAACGCAACCAAAATTTCGCAAATCTGCGTTGCCCACTTAGCAAAATGTGCA